ACACACACACACACACACACACACACACACACACACACACACACACACACACACACACACACACGCACACACACACACATGCGCCTGCAAGGCCATACAGCCGGCTGACCGTCGACTCCGGCGTGGTGGGCCCTGGACGATCTTCGTTGGTGTCCATCGCTGACGGGACAAGATGGACGGACGACTGCTGCTGGAACACACAGAACTGGCCCTGTCTGTTCGCGAGGGCACACCAGGATGGAGGCAAAAACGATGGTGAACGTGAGTGATGCTGTTGGCTGTGTCTTTGTCTCCACTCGCGGGTGTTGCACCACATGAGCATACATACACACTGACACAAACATCATTGCACATGCACACCCACTCACCCACCCACCAATTCACCCACTCGCTCACCCACCAATTCACCCACTCACCCACTCACACATCACACACTTCCTTGCCCATCGAATCACTCACTCAGATGACTATTTTTTTCTGCGCGCCGTTAGTTTGCCACCGGTCATTGGGGAGGATTTCAACAACGCAACTGCTTGGCACTTTTTGAGCCACCTGACACCAGCCAGTTTTCAGTCACTTTTGACAGGCGAAAAACGCTGCCGACAACGACGAGCGTTGCACGTTCCCGTCAAACCGCCCCACCAACAGAGTAAGGCTGTTGTGCCCTTGTCCGGTGACTGCGTGTTCACTGCATCCAATTGCCGTGTGCAGCCATCATCGCTGCCTGTGTGATATGTGTGGCCCCCTGTCACCGCTCACACCAGCCATCTTCACCTTTTGGGGGGTTTCAGGTGATCCACCAATCTGCTTTTTCGCCATCGCATCTCGCCCAGCACCCACCGCCACCACCCTTGACAGCACACGTGCGTGCTTTTTTCATCTGTATGTGTGTGTGTGTGTGTGCGTGTTCAGAAGCTCTGTGTGACCTTCGTCTTGTTTTGTCGTCTTGGCGTAGCGCATATAAATGTGTTGACTTGCGCTCCCGCACATAGGCACACTTGCACACACACGCACACACGCATACACGCATACACACACACATACACACACACACACACACGGACCCACACACACAAACACGGACAAACACACACACGGACACACACACACACAAACACGGACAAACACACACACACGCACGCACACGCACACACACACACACACACACACACACACACACACACGCACACACACACACGCACACACACACACACACACACACACACACACACGGACCCCACACACAAACACGGACAAACACACACACATACGCGCGCACACACACACACACACAAACACACACGCACACAAGCACACACATACGGCTGATTCTCACGTGTCTCCCCTGCTTGTGCTCGTTGTTCGTGACTTTAGACCCCGCGCCAGCGTGGTTCCCTGTCTCAATGGACAAGAGCATGATTTCCTCCACCACTCGGCGATGCATCCTGACAGCATTTCCAGTGCTGCCGGTCAAGCCAATGTTGCCACCACGCCAGCACGCCAAGCAAGTCACGCGGCAAGCCAGGCCACACGCAGCAGCAGCATCCTCCATCTGAATCTGTTTGGTGACGGCTTCGCCAGCCCCATCAGCTCTCCGTTGAGGGCCCTGATGGACTCCGCCGTGCAGGCCAGCGTCGTTGCAACAACGCCCACCCGCTCTTCGCCCGACCAGGGTGACGACGGCGCTTCCCTACTGCCGTCGCTGCCGTCACATCTCCGCTGCCTGCCAACCTGAGCAGCGTGCCACCTCCAACAAACTTCTCTGACCTGCCCCTGCCTCTGTGGTCTCCACACAGTCCTTTTGCGCTCCAAGGACCTCCGCTTGATGTACCCCTGGACGACAGTTTCGAGCTGTTTGTCGACCTTGCACCGATCACCGGCAGCGATGTCGATGATGGTGGCGATGATGGTGACAGCACCCAGCACCGCGCAGCCCCACCTCTCCAGCATCAGCAGCACGGCCACGACAGCCAGCAGATGCAGCAGCAGGAGTCGCAGATGCTGGAAGTACCGCTGATCGATATGACCCAGCACCAACGCCCTAACCACCACCCACACCAAGAGGCGCAGCAGGCTCAGCAGGTGCAGGTGCAACAGGCGCAGCACGTGCAACAGCTACTCGGCCACAGCGGCAACGGCCAACACCAGCAGGCGAACCATGTACACGTCCACCACCACCACGTCCACCACGTCCATGTGCAGCAGGACTCGGTTCAACACCACCAACACCACTACCAACAACAACAACAACAACAACACCAGCAGTATGTCTTCCAGCAGGGCCAAGAGCGTCTTCTTCATGAAGACGGGCGCCCAGCTCGCAAGCGCGCGCACCTCAGTCTCTCGTTTGCACAGCAGGTGTATCTTGCACAGCAGCACCAGCAGCAACGGCAGCAGCAGCAGCAGCAATGGCAGCAGCACCAGCACCAGCACCAGCACCAGCAACAGGTGGCTGTTACTGCACCCCAGGCCCCTCCTTTCCAAGCAGTCCAGCCGATGTTGGCACAGGCAGCGACGCAGGCTGGGCAGCATGGGCAACGCGACCAGCCGTCCTTGCCACAGCAAGCATCTCTCGAACAGCAGCAGAAACGGAAACGGCGGCTCGCAAAGAAGAAAGACACGGAACAGACTCGTCGTGACGCCATCAAAGCTCATGTCGATGAACTCCGCCGTGCCGTGCTGCCAGAGAATGCCTCGGCCATCCTGCGCCGGAGTTACCGGGCGGTGGTCATGACATGTGCTGTCTACGCCTTCACCAAGGCTGACCCAGGGTTCTTTGAGCTCGCAAACATGCACCGCCAGCGCGTGCGCAAGGAGCAACTGACGGCCGCCTTTGTGCGCCAGGTTTTGCCGAGTGCGCCCACGCTGACGCATGCACAACGCCATCACAGCGCAGGCTGCAAACGCTGACAGGGGATAACAAGCGAACCGAGTATGAAGGGATTGTCTACGAGCGGCTGGCCGCCCTTGTCAGCCCTGAAGAGAATGAGCACGCGAGGATTTTGCGAGCTGCACGTGACAGGATCACAAGTGATGGGTGCCGACTCACTGAACAGGAGCTGATTGAGGTCGCAGAGTTGCTTGGCGAGCGCAAGCAAAGTTGATTCCTCCATCGCTGCACGCGGCTTGCTGCACGCGGCTTGCTGCTGTCGCGTCATGGAATTTGCCTTGATTCGGTCTCTGCCTGACCATGTCCCTTGTCTTGCGAGCTGTATCTTGCTTTCTTTCTTTCTTCTGTTCGTCACTCGTGTCACTGTGCTTGCTTCACGTTGGCTATTCCAATCAATACCACTTCCTTCTTCGTCTTCCTCCCTGCCTCCCTGCCTCCCTGCCTGCCTGCCTCAGCCTCTTTACCCGCGTAATGCTCTTCCCTTTCACATTCCTTATGCGCCTAGATTCTTCACGCGTATTGCCTTGCACCTTTCCCCTCCCAAGCCCCACATGTGTGACTGTGTGTGTGCGTGCGTGTGTGCGTGCGTGTATGTATGTGTTCTTCGTTCTCGTTACACCACCGCGGACGTCGCGTCCAAGCACAAGGAGTACACCACGGCTTACGAGGCACCCAAGCAGGAGTACACCACCAAGCCCGCCTACCCACGCTACACCCAGCACCAGGAGTACACCACACGCCCCGTGTACACCACCAAGCCACTTGTGTGCACCACCAAGCCACCCGTGTACACGACCAAGCACCAGGAGTACACGACGGCCTACGAGGCGCCCAAGAACGAGTACACGACGAAGAACGACTACGCCTACGCCGACAACAACTCTGGCGCCTCTGGTGCTGGGGATGCCGCTGCAGGTCTCTCTGCGGGCGCCATTGCCGGCATTGTGGTTGGCGCGCTGCTGCTTGTCAGCGCCGTTGTTGGTGGCGTTTTCTTCGCCAAGCACCGCGCCAACGCCTCTTCCTCCTCCTCCTCCGCCGTCGAGTCCGTCTAAGCAGCAGCAGCTGCTGCTGCTGACAGCAGAGGCATCATCACCAGCAGCAGCGACAGAGGCAGTGCCGGCTGGCTGCTGCTTTGCTGTCTGTGACGACGACGACGACGACGACGACGACGGGATGATGACCATGCTTGCTTGCTTGCTTGTTGCACCATTTGTGTTTCTGCATTTCTGTTCATTCACCTGCCTGTTTGACCTCCTAACACCACCACCACCACCCCCCTTCCTTGCGTTGCTGTCCTGCTGTGCCAGCCATGACGGGTTTTGTTTTTGTTTACACCACATGAAGCATGAACAGAAGAACAGAGGAGAAGCAGAAAGCATAAGCAACACAAAACGCGCACTCTCTCACAGTATCTCTCACCCGCCCCCGCCCCCTCCCACACACACACACTCTCTCTCTCTATCACACACGCACGCACACAAACTAACACACACATGGCCAATTGGAACGGTCGTGCAGTGAGCCAGGCAGAGCAATGGCATTGGTTGTCGCTAGCTGGCTGTGTCGATGAAGGCGTGCTCTCCTCAGTTGTGCTGTTTGTAGGGTGTTGTGTCACGGTCACAAAGCAGCCGCAAAAAGTTGCTCATCTCACTCGGATCGAGTTTACCTTGACGCTTCTCGGGGCGTTGAAGAAAGCGGAGTCGCTCGCATGTGGCCTCCAGCTGTTTCTCCCGTGTGGTCGCTGAGGGCAGGAGGGAGGCCATCTTGCAGATGACCTGAGCTTTGAGGCTGCGACTTTTGCGCTCTTGATTGTTCTTGCGGGAGTTGCGCGTGGAAGACTGCGAAGCAGCTGCCTGCTGTGTGTCTTGCACCGACTGCTGTTCTTCGCAGGATGACGCGTCTAGCAGCGGAGCGTCAACAGGCATGGTCGCTCCGCCACGGGCGACCCTCGCAACCATCTTCCTGCTTGCCGTCGTGCAGGGCTCCTCCTCGACCCTCTCTGGCGCTGATGGTGATGCAGACCTGGGGTAAGTGAAGTGGCCAAGGCTGGCAACAGGTGGAAGCTTCTTGCGCTGGCGCTCGCTGTTGACGATCTCCAGCATAGCAGCGTCGGTTACGTCTTGTTGTGTCAGAAGCGCGCCGTGATAGCTCTGCTCGGGCGACATCCGAAAGTGGCTGTCGCGCTTGTACAATGTGTACAAAGCACAGATGAGCACTGTCAGCTCTGAATGGCGCTTTCCGGAGGGCTCGAACACCAGCGCTCTCATGGTGTCTATCTGCGTGCTAATTGCCCCTCGGCGACACCTTTCTCGAGTGCTTGCTGCCTCCCTGGCCGCAGGCGTCTTGCCTGTCTGAGGTTTGGATGTGCTGCGCGCCGTTGACGTGGCTCGATGCGACGGGGACACAGCTGTCGTCGGCGCCTGGGCTCTGTCCTTGAGCCAATCTTCCCTCTGCGCCGGGTGCAGCTGCTGCGGATCGAGCTCCCAGGTAACGGGCATGCATGGTAGCTTATGCGAATGGACCAACAGCGTGGAGTGCGTGGTTTGTGCCTGAAAACCCCCACCAGAAGACTTCGACGCAGGTTCGTCTGCAGTCACATGTGCGCGCTTGCAGACTGGCTGTCCATCATCGTCGCCGAGGTGAGGGAGGCTGAGGTTGGCGGTGTAGTGGTCGCGCCGGCCGTGGCAGCTTGTCTCAGGGGTCGTGGACACCCGGCAGTGCAAAGCCACGCGTGCAGAGTATTCCTCGTGCAGCTTGTCCCGGGCATGGGGAGGCGGGGCGGGGCCGAAGGGTGGGAGGGCCACATGAAGTTGCCCAGCCGTGTCAGCGTGAGATGGCATGTGCGGCAGCGACGGAGTGCTGCGGAGTGTGAGAGCACCCTCACGGTTGACAGGTGACCTGGAGAAGCTGCCGTGCCCGAGCTGGCCTCGTGGTGGCACCGGTGGTGCAGGCGGTGGCACGAGGGGCTTTTGCTGTCGGCGTGGTGGACGCATCGCCATTCTGCCTGCCACCGCAGCTTTCCTTGGGGGCTGGGGTTGAGCTCTTGGCGACCCAGCTGGCGACGGAGGAGGCGCTGGTGGTGGTGACAATCTGGCTTCAGCATCTTCGTTCTTCTGGGGGCTCGTGGTGACTTGCTTCTGCACTTTCGGTGTGTTGTTGACGACGTTATACGGCATGCGCAAGACCCATTCTGCTTTAGCAATTGCTTCACGCAAGGGCAATGGGCTGGTGCTGAAGGTGTCGCCCATGTCTGCACCATCATCTCGGTAAATCCTCAGCGGTGTTTCACGTGTCCTCTGCACGATGTTCACCATGTGGATGAGCCTGCTTCGCACGTATTCTTCACATCTGCTGCCCAGCGCGAAGTCCTTGATAAGCCGCTGAACCGCGTTCGAGAATGCCAAGTCGACCTCTACGGAGGGATGGAAGACAAAGCAGGAGCGGCAGTGATTGCACGTGAGTAAGTGTGAATGCATTTGTGTGTGTGTGTGTGTACGTGTATGCGTGTGTGTGTGCGTGTGTATGTCTGAGTAGTGGATGTGTCCGTGAGTCTGTGCGCCAGAAACGTTTGGCTGTCTTGTGTCACACTTCACACTTTCGTGCCAAGAGAGAGATGGTTCTTACCATCGTTTGCACTGTTGTTGTTCATGTTGGAGAGAGAGAAGGCTGGGTAGTCTACTTCGTACTGTGACCGCGGCGTGATGAACGATGGTGTGGTGGTGGAGGAGGAGGAGGAGAGAGAGGAGGGGGTTTAGGCACTGGGTTCAAGGGTGTTCTCTTCAGGGCGTGGTGACTTCTGGGCGTTGTTTTTTTCGCGTTGGGTTTTGGCGCGAACTTTTGGATTGAGTTGAAAAACGGCCGTGGAAAATTTGCATCTCTCTGTATCTTGTGAAATTGCACACTTTGTGCGATGATGTCATCTTCATGAAAGAAAACTAGACGACTGTGTTGTGAGGGCGTGTGCATGTGTGTGCGTGTTGCGTGTGCATGCGTGCGTGTTGCGTGTGTGTGTGTGTGTGTGTGACTGCCTGCCCACCACAGGCAAACACAACGTGTTGCGCGTCGTGACATGGGGTAGAGAACATGGCAGCGGCAAGAAACGTATGGCATGGTGTGCTGGCTCGTATCTCACGATCAACCAACTGCTTGGGCGCAAGTGGTGTTGCGCTCAGGCCCCCCACCCCCGAACACTGATTTTGCTTAATTTATCTCTGCCACATGCAACCTTTCTGGCTTTCCCGTTCCACGCAAGTGTCCAGTTGCGCGGACTATCACTCGCATGCGTTTGTTGTTGCAACACACAAGGTATTTAGGAGTGTAATCATGACAGAACGTTCGTGCTCGGTAAAGTATCCCCCAACAAACAAACAAACAAACAAAAAAAAAAAACGAACCAATTTCCGAAGCAAAACAGCACAAGGGGTGCATTGTTGTAACAAACAACCTCGAGCAACGCAAGGAACACACGTGTGCTCGTGTCAAAAAATGAAACCTAAGATGTATCATGGCCCAAAGGCTTTCTGGTTCACGTCAGTCACACAGACACACAGACACACAGACACACACACACACACACACATATGGGGCTATGGTTCCGTTTGCTTCAGCCTGGCAAAAAACTGCCCAATCTCCGTCATGGTCTGCTTCGGCGACGTGGGCTGTGTGTGTTTGCTCTGTTCAACACTAGCGCCGCCCACACTGCCACGCCCATCACCGGCGCTGTCCGTTGTGTATGCCGCCTGCCGCTGCAGTTCACACCTCGACGCATCATCCACGACAAGTGACACTGCGGACACGCCCACATCACCGAACGTGCTTCGGTCGCCCGCACTGCCATCGCCAAGATCGTCATGTACGTGCACACGCGCTGCGGGTGTCTGGTTTTCCTTGCTGCGGTCCTGCTCGCTTTCTTCTTCATCGCGAACAATTTTGGCGCCATCGTCACCACCAGCAGTATCACCGGCACCACCACGACCGGTGTTGTTGTTGCTGTTGTTGCTGTTGTTGCTGCTGTCCAACACCACCTCGAGCTCGGGTGTGGTGGCCATCACGCCATCGCCATGGCCCTGCTCCCTCCGCTGCTTGTGTGGTGCTGGAGTCGACGTCACGAGGGACTTGGGCAAGCGTGGCAGCGGGCTGTCGAGTGAAAACACGGGGCGTGCACGGGCAGCGTGGCCGTGGGCAGCCCGCCCGCCTGTGCGTCCAGACGTATCGTGCGTGCGTCGCGCTGACGCAGGCGATGTTGGTGTACTGCGTGTGACATGTGGTGCTGGTGTGGCGGCATCATCTTCGACAGAAATGACTGCGCCACTGGCATACGCGGACTGCTGTTGCGTCGTGAGCAGTAGCTGTTGCAGACGCTGCTGTTCTGCACGTGCGTCTGCAATGTCGCGCTCGAGCTGCTTTCGCGCGCGAATCTCCTCCGCAAGAGCGTGCTCGGCCTTGGTGGCGCGCTCATCTGCTGCGCGTGCTGCTGCCGCCTGCGTCTCGTGCGCATCGTCAGCAAGCGCCGTCTGGATGTTTGTCACGACCGATTCGCTCAGCAGCCCGCGCACGCTTGCGTCATGGCCGGCACCAGCGGCGCCTGCGTCGTCGAGTTTGTCGCGCAGCTCCTTGTTGTCGGCGAGCAGCCCACTGATTTCTTCCTTGAGCTCTGTAACGGTGCGGTCAAAGTCCTCCTGCAGCAGCTGCAGAGAGTGCGCACTCGCATCTGCAAACGGGTGATCATGTGGCGCAGGAGGTGTGCACATGTGTGTGGATGTGAGGGAGGGCGCGGGGGAAGGAGTAGGCGGAAGTCGCGACTCACAAGCACACACGCATGTATAATACATACACGCATGTATAATACACACACACATACGCACACATACATACGCACACACACATGCATGTACACCCACAAAAACACACACACACACAAAACAATGCATGTATACCCACAAAAACACACACAAATACACATACACACACACCCCGCTGTTTGGTTCATGCAAAGCCCTTTGCAGAGCTTTCAAACACACCTGCTTCGTCTTTGCATTGCTCTGCCTGCGCCTTGAGGAGCTCAACCTTCTCCTTGAGCTCGGCGTTCTCTTCCTCAAGCTGCTGCCGGGCGAGCGATCCAGCGGCGTCAATGCCGTCGCTTAATTTCGCATCGAATTCATCATCCTTAATGCGGGCCTCCAGTTCCCGCTTCTCGCGCGTGAGTTGCGTCATGAGATCAAGCAGGCTGTCTGCCTCCGCGCTCGCCTTGGCCTGGGCGTCGCGAAGCTTTCTGCATTCGTTCTCATGCCTGGCAGCGGTGCGTTCCTCCTCGCGTTTCGCTTCCTCGAGGGCGGCGTTGAGCTGTGCCACCGTCTCCTCCGACGCGCGCAGCTGCTGCTTGAGCTCGTTCATCTCATCATCCGCAAGCTCCCTCTGCACCACGGAGAGGTTGGCGTCGCCGAGCAGGCCCTGCACCGTGGTGTCCGCCCCCTGGTTGCCTGCAAGCTCCTGGTTCTCCGTCTTGAGCTCGGAGTTGATGCGCAGCAGATCGTTGACCTCGCGCGTCAGGCTTGCGGCCTCCTCCTCCGCCGTGGACAGCGCCTCCTTTGCTTCGGCCAATCGACGCGACAGCCGCTCATTCTCGCCAGAGAGCCGGTCCACGCGCGCGCTTGCAGTCGTCAGTTGCGCCTGCAGCTTCTGCATTTCCTCCACGTACTCCTCCTGCTGCAGCGTGGACACATCCACGCCCACGAGGCCCTGCAGGGAGCGGTCGCCGCCCGCAAGCTCATACTCCTCTTGCATCACGCGCATCTCCTCCTTGAGCTCCGTGAAGCTCTGCAACAGGTCGTCGTAGTCGCGGTTGGCCGTCGCCTCGCGCGACCGGGCCTGCTCCAGCTCCTCCCTCAACTCTTCAAGCTCCGCCTGTTTCTGCTCCAATGCCGCGGACGCAGCGGCGCTTGTGTCGGTCTGTCCGTCCAGCCTGCGGCGGAGTGACGCAGCCTCGTCTTGGGCCTCCTCCAAATCAATCTGCAGGCGCCGAATGTCGCACTGCTTCATGTCGAGGGCCATGGCGTGGTCGTGCTCCTGCTCGCTGAGCTGTGCGCGCAGCTCCTCCTGCTCGGACGTCAGGTCCGACACCATGTCCATCATGCTCGAAATCTCCTACAGGGTTGCGCACGCGTGCGTGTTGTGAATGTGCATGTGTGTGTGTGTGTTGTGAATGTGTGCGTGCGTGCGTGCGTGTGTGTGCGCGCGCGTGTGTGTGTTTGAAAAGTGCAATCCAAAACAGGGCGCATAAGCAGTCGTCTCGCCACACGACCAACGGCACACACACACACACACACACCCAGGTACACAAATGCACACAAGTGCACGCACACGCACACGCACACGTACACGCAGACAGGTAGAGACAAAAAGGAGAGCGCACTCACGTCCTTGAGCTTCTGCACTTCCTCGCGTGCTTGCGTGAGGTCTGATTCGTATTGGGCGGTGACAGTCTCGATTTCCCTGGAATGCGATTCGACGAGCGCATGGGACCGCTTCTCCACCTGATCGCGCACAGCCGTCACTTCCTCCAGCTCCTGCTCCCGCTGCGTCTTCTCTTGTTGCACCTGCAAATCGTGCGTGTGAGTGTGTGCGAGTGTGAGTGTGAGTGTGTGCGAGTGTGAGTGTGTGATGTAAAAATGAGCATTACGTTGGCAACAAGCAGCACAAATCCCACTCGTAAGCAACGTGACACACACACACGCACGCAGACAGACAGACAGACAGACAGACAGACAGACAGACAGACAGACACGCACAATCACGTGTAATGATGCACTGCACCTGGGAGAGGGAGGCCTGGAGTGCTGCGACCTGGCTCTGAAGGGAGGAGGCAGCACTGGCGGCTGCCCGCTGCTCCTGCACATCGCCTTCGAGCTGATGATGATGATGATGGTGATGATGAAGTGACAATGACGATTGGTGTGCGTGTGTGGGTGGATGCGTCAGTTAGTGCGAAAAGGGTCGAGACGATCACAACAAAAACAAGGGGCAAGAACTAAAACAAGGGCAAGAACACAGGCAAGAGCAAGAGCAAGAACAAGAACAAGAACAAGACAAGAACAAGGGCACAAGCGAGGACAAGAACAAGCACAAAGCAAACAAGCGAGGAAAAGAACAAGCACAAAGTAAACACGCAATTGAATCAATCAAAACCCGGCAAAAAAAAAAAAAAAACACGCAGCCCCTCATTGTGCACCTCCCTTCCGCCCAACCTTGGCAATGGTGGACTTGAGCTGCTTGTTGGTGTCCTGCTCCTCCTTGATATCGGCCTCCAATTCCTCAATGTCCTGCAGCAGCGTCTTCACATACTCCGCACCTTCCTGCACGTGCGTTTTGCTCTCGTCAGCCTGCTTCTCCAGTGTCTGCACGCGGTCCTGCGCCTCCTCCAGCTTGCGCGTCAGCTCTGCCTTTGCGGTGGACAATTCGTTGAGTTCTGCCTGCAGGCTTGACACGCGTGCCTGTGTCTGCTCCACCTCAGCGTTGCGCCTGGCAAGCTCCTGCTTCGTATCTACGTGCGCCGCGGCCTCGGCCTCCAGCGCCTCCCGTGCCTCCTGCTGCTTGCATGCAAAGCTGGCACGTGCTTCCTCTGCTGCTTTCTTGTGCTGCTCAGTCTCCTGCTGTGCACGTGTCAGCTGCAACATCAAGTCGTTGACCACCTCCTGCACGTCCTCAAGCTCTTCCTCTTTGTCCTGTCAATGTGTGTGTATGTGTGTGTGTATGTGTGTGTGAACAATGAACATATGTGTGCAGGTACAGTAAGGCACAAGTGTGCCCCTCCCAAGTCACTCCGCAACTGCACACGAGTCCTCGTTCCCCCCCCCCCCACACACACACACGCACACGTGCACACACACACGCGCGCGCGCGCACGCCCGCACCTGCATGAGGTCGTCCTGCAGCTGTTGATTGCGCTGCATCTCCGTCTTGTGTGCAAGTCGCAGCTCCTCCAACTTCTGTTCCGCCGCGCGAGCAGCTGCGGATGATTCCTCCAGCGCACGTGCGTGTGTTTTCTTCAGCACCTCAAGCTCCTTCTCCAGCTCCTGTGCCCGGTTGCGCGCTGCTGCTGCCTCCTCCGCTGATTGCTGTGCTGTGGACTCCGTCTCCTTCTTCACCGCCTCCAATTGAGCGCGCACACGCGCACTCTCGTCCTTCGCTTCCGACGCCTCCCGCTGTACCGCTTCAAGCTGCGCGGTGAGCGACACCACGTGTTCCTTGGCTGCCGCCAATGCCGCCCCTGCCTCGTCACGCGCTTTCGTCAGCGCTGCCACCTCGGCTGCGTGCTGCTCCGTTGCGGCTGCCAGGTCCTCTTCAGCGGCTGCTGTCTCTTCCTCGGCGGCGTCCATCGCCTCGCGCAGCGCCATCACCACCTCCTTGCCCGTCTGCACCTGCTTCTTCGCCTCCGCAGCCGCTTCCTGCGCTGATGCAAGCTCGCCCTTCAGTGACGCAATCTCTGCTTGCGCACGTGCCAGCGCCTCCCTGTCTGCTGCGGCCGCGCTCGCCTGCTCGGATGCCAACGCCTTTTCTCGCGCCTCCAACGTCTGCGCACGTGCGCGCTCCTCTTCCAGTTGTGCTGTCACATCCTTCACTGCGCTCTCTGCCGCCGCCAGCTTCGATGACACCTCCTGTGCCTCTGCTTCCAGCTGCGAAATGCGTTTGGTGTTTGCCTCGTCGCGCCCCTTGAGGTCCTCCTTGACAGCCGCCAGCTCCAACCTCAGCTTCTCCTCCGTCTTGCGCATGGCGCGAGCACGCTCTTCCGATTGCGCCCGCGCTGTCTCCAGCGCCTCCCGTGCTGCCGCCACCTCGCCACGTGCGCGCTCAACATCTGTCTCAAGCTCCCGCGCGCGTGTGTGTGCAGCGGCGGCGGCTTCGTCCGCCTGCCTTGTCCTCTCCTCCAGTTCTCGCTGCAGTTGTGTGCGCTCGCCTGAAACCGCCCTCATCTCTGCCAGCAGCTCCTGTTCGCGCTGCGCATGTGCGCTGTGGGCCGCGGACAGCTGTTCCTGCAGCTGTGTCACCTGCTGTCCGGCCTGCTGCACCGCCGCCTCTTTCCCGCTGCTCAGCGACGAGAGCTGCTGTTGCAGGGAGGCGACTGTCGCCTTTGAGCGCTCCGCCTCTGCACGTGTGGCGGACAGGCTGTCCTCCGCGCGGTGTGCGCGCTCCTCCACGTCGGCCAAACGCGTTTCAAGCGCCGCACGCTGCTGCGACCACGCCTCCTTGTCGCTGGCGTGTGTGTTGGCGGCACTGGTTGCGGCCTCCTCTGCGCGTGCCAGCTTCTCCTCCATGCTTGCACGCACGCGCGACAGCTCGTCCTGGCTTTGCTCCTTGACCTCGTGCATGTGGGCGTGTGCGTCTTTCAGCTCCGCCTTCAGCTCAGCAAGAGCGTCAGACAAGCGCTTGCTTTCCTCCTCCGCGGCACGTGCGCGCGTGCTGGCGGAAGCGATGTCCGATTGCAGCTCGTCCACCTTCTTCTCCGTGGTCTGGAGGGCGGTGCGCGCATCTGCCAGCTGTTGCGCTGCGTCGTCTCGCTCGCGTGTGAGTGTGTCCGCTTGTGTGGACAACTCCTCCACCCGTTGCTGCAGGTCGCGTGCTGCCTCATCGTGTTGTGCACGTGCGGCGTCGAGCGTGGCGGCGTCACGGCCCGCCTTCTCCTTGAGTTGCGTCAGCTCCGCCTGCAATGACGCAATCTCCTCCCGTGCCATAGCTGTGCTTGCTGTGGCCTCCTCCGCACGTGTTGTCGCTGCTGCCAGGTCTTTCTCCAACTCAGCAATGCGATTGTTCAGCTCCTTTGCACGCGCGTCACTCTCGTCCTTCTGCTGTTGAAGCGATGCCAGTTGTTGTGCTGTTGCCGTCTTGCTGGTGTCTGCGGCCTGCTGCAGTTCGGCGAGCTTGCTCGCATGCAACTGCTCCAGCTGCTCGCGCTGTGCCGCCGCCTCCGCCCGTGCTGCGTGCACCGCCGTCTCGATCTCTCGTGCGTGGTCATCTTTCATCATGGACAGCGCGCGCGCGTGCGTGCTCTTCATCTCCTCCACATGCTTTTCCAACTCGGCATGCGTCGCCCTGAGCTCCTCCAATGCGCTGGCGTCAGCGGCGGCCTGTTGCAGTCGTTCATTCGTGTTGGAGGGGCGTGGTGGTGTTGGAGGGTGCGAGACAGGCGATACAGGTGAGACAGGTGAGGGATGTGAACGTGGGACATGAGGGAGAACGAAGAAGGTGTCACGACGGCCTGAGTAACCAGCACAATGAACTGCAACATGATACAGACACAAACGAACACACACACACACACACACATACACACAAACCACAAACACAAACAAATACGCAAACGAACACACACACACACACACACACACACACACACACACAAACCACGGATATACAAACACACAGACACGTACGCACCTTATCTTTGACGGTGTCGATGGTTTGTTGGAGCCTGGTGGCCTCGAGCGTCATGCGATCAACGGTGGCCGTCAGTTCGACCCGTTCGGATTTCAGCGCCGAAATCTCCTGTTTGCGCTTGTCCGACGTCTCCTTTGCGCTCTTGAGCGACGACGCAAGCTCCTCTGCATGCGTGTACGGGTATGAACGAGAATGTGAGTGAGTGTGTGGTGCGTGAATGAGTGAGTGAGTGACAGTGCGTGAATGTGCGTGGATGGAAGACACACAGAGTGATGCATTACAGGTTCGAACAGCGTGCATTCAAGCACACACATCCCGGAACGCCTCCACCTGCTTCCTTTTGCACTGCGTTCTCACCGTTGCGCCGCGTGATATCTTGCAGCTGCGTGGAGAGATTTGCCGCCTCCGCCCTGGCCGTTTCTGTAAACCCACGCGCACAGCGAGCGAGGCATTGTGTTAACATGTGTCGTGGAAGAATCATGCATACACGCACACGCAAAAGGAACACCTAATCTCCCACCTCTCTCACACACACACGTCCACACACGTCCACACACGTCCACACACGTCCACACACACACACACACACACACACACACACACACACACACACACACACACACACACACACACACACGCACACCTGTAGAGTTCGAGTTTGCTCTCGTCGGAAAGCGTGACGGGGAGCCAGGACGCAAACACCTGCAGGACACGGCGACGAACAGCAACGCGGTTGTGCGTGTGCTCGTGGAAGAGTTGTAGGAGCGTTGGAAGCAGTGCGTTGATGTCCACGGCGTCGCGTAACGCATATGCGCCTGTTGGGGCGGCCGTGTGAGCGATGGTGGTCGATGTGGTAGTGGTGTTGAAGTTGAATGTGGTGTGAGGCGATCGACGAGTGAGAGCTGACAGCAAAGCAATGATGCATTTCGGTCGCATGGTTGAAGGGACAAGCACATGAGAGCACAGAGTCACGCCTCCCTGCACACATGCATGAACCACGCATGCGTGCTTGCTCCTCTTGAAACTAGCGTGAGAAGGTCGCACTTCCCCAAGAAACACACATCCCCAGATCGTAACACGGATACAGCAACCCATCCAAACACACATACACATCCATCCACCCAAACACAAATCCATCAATCTCCACAGCTCACTGCCCCTCCCTCCCTCCAAGTCACGGCACGCGTACCCAGCTTGAGTGCGCCCAGCACGGCGGGTCGCGTGTGTGTGTCGGCGGTGTGAATGCTCTGCGGAGAGAGAAGTGGTGCAATCACGGAACACACGAGCGATGGTCGCGTCTCTGCAATGGT